AAATTATAAGTTAAAACAAATAAATTTCATCTCAATTTCAATTATATCTAAATCCAACCCCAAAATATCACAATATTTTGAAATTATACAAAATTCATGTCTCTGAGAATTTAGATATTATGAACTTCAATTTTAATTTACATTTTGGGATTTAGAGATTGCAATTTAAAAAAGAAAATTTGGAGTTCGAAGGAAGTCAAGAAAATCGAAAATAGAAATGTAAACTTGATAAAAAATAAAAAATAAGATAAAAGTGAGTGGTTGTGGCATTAAATAATTTGGGTTAAAAAAAATTCTTTTTTAACTTTTTTCAATTTAATGGACAAAAACAAAATTAAAAGATGGAAGAAAACATCAATAAATTAAAAATAAAGAGGTTTGATTAAAAAGGGAGTGACAAAAGAAAAGAGGAGAGAGAGAGAGAGAGAGAGAGAGAGAGAGAGAGAGAGAGAGTTGAAAATTAAAAAGAAAGAGCCATGAGGGGATGAGATTTTGTAAGAAAAATGAAAAAAAGAAATATGAATGTTTGCTTTATATAAATTAGTTATCAAAAAAAACTAATAAGATGTGATGGTGCAATGGTTAATATTGGCCTTTTATTACAAAGGTCTTGGATTCGAATCTTGATAGCTGCATTTTGCAAAACTTAAAAAAAAAAAAAAAAAAGAGGGAAAGCTGAAAACCGGAAAACCGCCTGTTCAATCCGGTTCGGCGGTTTTCACGGTTCAACCGGTCTTTGACCGGTTTTCTAGCAAAGTCAACAATGTCATTGAACCGGACCGATGCCATGGCCGGTTCGCGGTTCAACAGGTCGAACCGGCCGGTCCGGTCCGGTCCGGTTCAATGACATTGATTTCACCATTAGTGGTGCCCGCGTTCTACTTTATCTGTTGTTCTTTTCCCGTTTCTTTGGAAGTTTCTGTCAGTCTTCTTTGGAAGTTTTTATTTCAATTACATTCTCAACTGGAAAGAAATCATCTGAGTAAGAAGAGAAGACTAAGAAGCAAACTGAAGATGGCTTGGAGATCTTTTGAACTGCAGTTTCACCTTGGTCTAGCCTTAACTGAGCTCCATCGGCAATTGCAGCAGGAGGGGTGGCGTTTTGGCTGCGAAGGTGTAGCTGGAGTTTCAGGTTTGCGAGGATTACTGAATCCAAATTTGCGCAGGATCGGTGATCAGAAGCTGTATAATACTCTAGATGATCGTATAACCAAACTCCAAGACGATGCCAATTTCTTGATAACTTTCAGGGATTGCATACACAAGTGGACTGATCCAGGCTATGTTATTAGGAATTCGGGATTTCTTGTCTCTAAGATTAACGCTGAAATTGTTGATATTGCTGGCAAACTCAGAATAGCCTGTCGCAAAAAGTACGTTTCGAAATGTCCTTCCAAGCTCATTGATGTGCTCAGCAATTTGCTGACCAACATTCAGAAATTGAAACCGGAAATTGCACAAGCATGTCAGGCTCTGTCTGCCTCCCGCTCGTTTCAGGTTGTTTCTCCCTTGCACCGTTATTTTCTATGGGTTGAATTTGTCCACTCCGTTGCAGCCACGAACATCAGGCCTCTGTTAAAGAAGGTGGATCGTTTTGATCAACAAGAAAACTTAGCAGCCTTGGTAGAGAGCTTAAACAAGCTCATATCGTTCCTTAATAGTGCACAAAAAGGTTTTGAGGATGGATTTCTAAGAGACCGCAGCATAATTGATGGCTTCTTGGTTCATGCTGCATCTGTGGTGACAAGGGCAGCAAATCTGTCATGTTTTTTCTGGTCCAAACATTGGGCAGATCCAACATCTGATCGGGACATGGCAGACAGTACTATTACTGATCTTTCAAATCTGCGAAGCGAGATTGATTTTACTACTCCCAAGATGACAGAGTTCGCGCTCAAGTTCCTCAATGCTCTCAGTAAAATCAGCCATGGACGAACTGCGAATCATGAGGCGGATATAGCAGCTACTTTTCTGGAGCAGGTCCTTTGTGGCGAATCCAAGACTTGTTTTAGCAAGGAATTGCTGCCCCTGGTGATCTTTGTGCTCAATGAGCCAGGGGAGTCCCTTCAGCCTCTGGACGCCAAGTGTTTCTCTGCAGAAATTAAACATTTGATCCTAGAGGCGGCATTACTAAGACAACGTTGGGTCACAGGAAAGATTCGGCTTATCAAGGAAAAGATGTTGCTTCTGGAGGTACAGATTTTCCTCAAGGAGCAGCTCGGCAACAGCACCATATTCAGGCATCCTGCCGAGGACCAAATTAAGGTGCTTCATAAAAAGCTGAAGAACCTGCTAAATGATCGCTCTGGCCTACAAGAAGCGGAATTTGAAAATGGGAAGCGAGTTTTTGACTGTATCGAAAAAGCCACTGCAGAGATAGAAAGTCTATATCAATCCTTGAAGGCAGAGAAAATTAAAAAAAGCAAGTTGAGGAGTTTGGTTTCTCTGTTGCTTTCCAAGATTCTGCTTTTCAAGGCATGTTGGGTTCTAATGGAGCTACGAAATGGTGAGGAAACTTTGACGGGTCTAAAATCTGAAGATCAAATTGAAGCCTTTCTTATTGGGGCAAAATTGGTTCTAGCTCTTCTTGAAGATAAAAAGGAGAAGAGCAAAGAACATGAGGAAAAGATGTACATGAAACCGATGGAGGCAATTATTTGGAGGATAACACATTTGTATTACTCAATTATTGCCCAAAAAGTCGAAAAAGAGGTGATCGAGAATTTGTTTTCAGGTTTCATACATGAGATGGAAATAATCACGGCAGAGCTGAGAGGGATCTGTCCAAAAATTTCAAGGTCCAATTTCCCCAATTTCATAGGGACTCAGTTCTTTGATTTTCTTTCGGCCAATCTTTTGGAGCTGATAAAGCGTAATCCAGATTCAATCGCTCTAGTGAAAGATCACATTGAAAAGATTCAACTGGACCTGGTGTCTTTCACATCTCTGTTCACAGGAACTTCGTACCCAGACAATGAGCATCAAGAACTGAAAGATCTTTCTACATGTCTCACAGAGATGGCATACGAGGTGGAATATGTCATTGACTCGATTGAGATGGGGATTGGTGCTAATTTGCAACATTTGGTATGGATTTATGATCTCCAAGAAAGGATTAGATTCATCAAGAATCTGGCAAAAAATACTGGGGTCCCTAGTGTCGCCCAGATTAGGGGGCATGTACGACAAGCCAGTACACCAAAAACTGACAAAATGGTGATATCTCTTGGTGATCAGGAACAAGAGGTAATTGATAGACTAACATGGGGATCATCGAAACGAGATGTTGTCTCTCTTGTTGGTATGGCAGGTATTGGAAAAACCACTCTGGCTAAGAAGCTATACAATGATCCAAATATAGTCTATCACTTTCACTGCCGTGCATGGTGTTCCGTTTCACAGGTATACCTGAAAAGGGACTTGTTGCTGAACATTCTGAGAGACATTGAAGGACTTACAGATGAGATTCATGAAATGAGCGACGCAGATTTAGAACAAAGGTTGAGGCAGCGGTTGTTGAAAAACAAGTATCTTATAGTTCTGGATGATGTTTGGGATGTTGAGGTCTGGAATGTTTTAGAAAGATCATTACCTGATGATGGAAACGGAAGTAGAATCATGATAACAAGTCGTCTCCGCAAGGTGGCTTTAGAAGCTGAACCTGATAGGGATCCCCATTCTCTACGTCTACTAAATGATGATGAAAGCTGGAAACTACTGCAAATGAAGATATTTCAAGAGGAAGGATGCTGTCCTGAGGAACTAGTCGACATTGGGGAGCAAATTGCTGAACGCTGTGGCGGGCTACCTCTAGCAGTTGTTGCAGTAGCTGGTATCCTAGAAAAGACTGAAAAGGAATTGGAGCGGTGGGAACTGATTGCCAAAGAGTTGAACTCCCTGGTAATTGGTGATGCAGAAACTCGGTGCAAGGACATATTACAGTTGAGCTACAGTCACTTACCAGCTCATCTAAAAGCATGTTTTCTGTACTTTGGAGCATTTCAAGGAGAAAAAGATGTTAGGGTCAGCAAGTTAATACAGTTGTGGATTGCAGAAGGATTTGTACAGAAAAAGGAGCCAAGGAGTTTAGAAGAAACTGCCGAGGAATACTTGCTTGATCTAATTGATCGGAGCCTAGTAATAATTTCCAAAAAAAGATCCAAGGGAGGAGTGAAAGCATGCCGCATCCATGATTTGCTGCGTGATTTGTGTCAGAGCCAATCATCAGAAGATAAGTTTTTACAACTTGTAACCAGGTATGATGAACCGTATGCTTCTCTTCTTGATTCAGATCACTGGGTTGACTTTGATTCTTATTATCCTTCAAATCCTGTAAAATATGAGAGCCATCGACTGTGCATATGTTTGAAACGAAAGGTTTTTGTTGATTCAAGACCTTCTGGTCCAAGGACCCGTTCTTTGATATTCTCTGCCTCTAGCGATACATATCCAAGGCGTCCATACAATCTCTCATTCATTCCTCGGCATTTCAAACTGGTTAAGGTTCTTGATTTGGAATGTATCAATATCGGTCATTCCTTTCCCACTGAAATGGAGTTTCTAGTTCAATTGAGATATCTGGCAATCAGCGGTGATATGGGTTCTATTCCACGCTCAATATCCAATCTCTGGAAACTTGAAACTCTGATCGTGAAGGGATTAAGCGGCATGGTTTTATTACCAGATAGTTTGTGGTGCATGACATGGCTAAGGCACATCCACGTTAAGAAACAAGCTGCTTTCAGCATGGAAGATGACACGTCTGGAAATTCCTTCCAATTGGAAAACTTAGTCACTTTTTCTTCACTGTCTCTCTCTTTTGGGATGGATACAGAGAAGATACTGAGGAAGCTGCCCAATCTTCGAAGCTTCAGTTGCATATTTCTGGATGCTAGGGATTCCTCTCAGAGTTGTAATCAGTTTCCAAGGTTAGATTTCTTGCCTCAGCTGGAGTCGCTGAAGATATTCTATGCTGGTAGGACTCGTAAGCCTGGGGAATTCAGTCTTCCCCTAAATTTAAAGAAATTAACTTTGTCAAGCTTTGGCCTACCATGGGATCATATATCTACCATCGGGAGGCTTCCAAACCTTCAGGTTCTTAAATTAGTTTCTGATGCCTTTGATGGGGAAAGTTGGGATATGAGGGAAGATGAGTTTCCTGAACTCAGATTCCTGCAGTTAGACTCTCTGAACCTCGTTCAGTGGAATGCCTCTTGTGATCACCTTCCCAAACTTGCGCAGCTGGTCTTACGAAACTGCAAACGCCTTCAGGAAGTCCCATATGATTTTGCTGATATTCCTACGTTGGAGTTAATTCAAGTGCAACGGTGTGGGAAATCCCTGGAAGAGTCCGTCAGAAGTATCGGTGAAGCAACTGAGTGCATTCAAGTCCTCATCAGTCGCTCATATTCATAATGTCAGCCAGCCACTATGGTACCTTTCTGCTCACTTGTAAGTAAACTTGCCAAATCTTTAGCAACTTATTCATCACTTCATAGCTTTTCAATTTGAAGGCATTGCCTCTAATAATCCAAACAGGAGCATAAATTTGTGTTTTAAATCGGGATCTGTACCTGTTCTTTCCTCTGTTTGGACTTTGGAGTGACTGAAATCAATGTTTTTCTCTTCATTTTTTAAATGCTTGCTAAAATTTTAGAATCAAATCACTTAAGATCTTACTTCAGTGAAAGCATTTAACTTCTGATCTAGATGTGCAGGAATGCCTCCAACCTCTCTGGAATACGAGCATTTTACGATTTGAAACCTCATGATGGTTTTAGTATTAATCATGCATTTTTATCAATCCTAAACATAGTTCACTTTACATGACATCAACAGTCTGGTGGAGTGGTCTGGAGGAGAGGAGAGGATGATCTCTTGTGACTAAACCATGAAGGGATATAGATTGTGCATGAAACCCAACTTGTAGTCCATCTTCTTGCATATGAACCTGCATCATGTTTAGCAGTAGTTTAATTCAGCGAAAATGATTCAACCTTGAAACTGCTCACTGTGGAATTTCAGGTTGATAATTTAACATAGAGTATCTTCAAACTATTTCGGATATTCTAGTGAATGTTAATCAAACAAAGTAATTACGTCATATGTCCCCTCTCTTTATTTGCTATGTCTAATTTTTTTGTTGCCCAATTTTGTTATTGACAGTAACATCTTCTGAAGGGCTTGTAAGGCTTTCTGGCTTTTTGTGAACTGAGAAGGTGTCCACAATCCAATTTCAGAGTTCACTGGTTCAACAACTTCCTCAATTATCTGCTCTAGTCAAGAGAATCAAGAGAACTTTCATAGCAAAAGAAGGGGGGAACTGGAAAAAAGCCAGTAGTGTTTCACAAGCTTGACTGTGACAAGCCTTTGGAGGACTTGAGGAATGAGATACTTCTCTGTTATTTGTATATGGTGTTGTGGTTTCTTGCCTTTATGAATGCTTGTGGCTCACAAAAAATGCTGATTTCTTTGCAAAAGGAAAAAATTCCATTTATAATGGAAGGAATGATAAATGTCTTGAAGCACTGTAAATTTGCATTTCTGCCTTGTTTTAAACTTCACCTTGAGTGATGCAAAAAAGTCTTTATTGGGCATCACTCTCTTTTGGATTAACTTCATTATGCTGGTAAAATGATGACCACACTGGTTGGCATCTTATCTACTATATTAGACTTCTTTTTTTCTTTTTTTTTGGTCAAGTATTAGACATAATGGATGTTAAGGTTTTTTTTTTTATCGCAACGATAGCATTTATATAAGCTAATCTAGTCTAGTTTATGAATGTTGAGGTTTCCTGGATTGTGTTATTTGTCAAAAAGCCTTGTTTGGATTGCTTGTTTCCGTCAGAAAATATTGTCGTTTTCCGTGATCACATTTCCCTATCACCTTTTTCCCTCACATATATCAAATCGCTACAGTAATTTTTCCATGAAAAATGACGGAAAATGCAATCCAAACACAAAAGACTGGAGTTTTTTATTTTTTTTTTCTACACAACAAATATGTGTAGCTTATGCACAACAGACAACAGTAGGCTGTAAATATCAACTAAACATAGTCCAAGATGTGTAGCATATACAAGGGCTACTACTCCCATGGTACATTCTATCTAAGAACCTGATCATATATGATGTTTAGATTCTGAAAATTCTTGCTATAAACCCCATTTATTTCATTCAATAATCTTTAATTCAAAGGGTCAATTCATGTTACATTTGCCAAAGTAAGTCCTAAAATATGCTTTTCGACAAAAAAAATTATGTATGTAGAACTTATTAATAATTATGTTTTTTTTTTAATTTCTCTCGACATTATTCAAGCTTGCAATGACAATCAAATTGTTCCACATTCCCAAATGTCAAAAAAAATAAATTTTACCACAAATTCAACAACCTATTCTAAGAGATATTCTACAAATTCACTATGCTCACCTATCATTGTGTCAAAAGATATTTTGTTTTTTCTATTTTATCCTCAGAAAATAAAGATACAGTATTTATAATTTTCTCACAATATGAAAAAAGTTTCAACAAAAAATAATTCGGTGATGCTTAAGTATATTTTGTTCTGATATAACTAAAAGAGACTTTTTTTAAAAAATTCTTATTCCTAAAAACAAAATTGGTCTAAATATGAATTTTGATTCATCTTTTTCCCATGGAGATGGATATAGAAAAAAAAATTCACCAACTAAAATTTGATACCCAGAAAACAAATATATATATATAAATAACCCTTTTGAAGTTATAATCCACAGCCAATTATGAAGGCGTGTACTAGTTATTTTATTACAAAGGTCCACGCCTTTGTTCCAAATTGACAACTCATTTGCTGACTATTCTCCGAGACTCTTTCCAACCCCCAAATGAATGTGGCCAGCACTCCGTGTCCGTTCCCATTCAAAAAAGCAAACCCCAACAAAAACCTTCTCCATCAAAATCCCATCAAACCACAACCAATTTCAGCAAAATAATCAATGGAGGCAGCTGCTGCGGGTCTGATTTCCGCCCCAGGCGGCGGAGGAGGAGCTGGGCCGGCTCCGTTCCTGTTGAAAACCTATGACATGGTGGATGATTCGTCCACAGACGACATAGTTGCCTGGAGTTCGACTAGAAAGAGCTTCATTGTGTGGAACCCACCTGAATTCGCCCGACTTCTCCTCCCTACTTATTTCAAGCACAATAATTTCTCTAGCTTCATCCGCCAGCTGAACACCTATGTATGTATGTTCTTTAGTTGATTGAATAGATTACTTGATCATTTCTATATATATGTATTGATTTTGGAATTTTATTAGTATATTTTTGTTTAATGATTGAATTGATTACTTGATCATTTCTATATATATGTGGGTTTCTTTTTTTGGGTCTAGTGTAACCGAGGTTAATTTTGATGGATTAGTAAAAGGAAAAGGATGTCTCTTTTGGGGTATGCTTGGTTCTGGATTGATATATATATATATATATTTTGGTTGATGTGTGAATTTTTAATGTTGTGCTGAATTTGAAAAGGGAGGACTTTGTGTGATATGGGATATTTAGATTGTTTCCTATATGAAGAAGGCTTTCAATTGAGTTAAGGTGGAATGATTGGGAAATGTATTGAATAATTGGTATTATTGGTCTGTATGTTTATGACCCTGTTGGCATTTTGGCACTGCACTACTTTTTGTGGGGCTTTTTTATGCAGGCGGTGATTAGCACTCGGAAAAGTCAGTTTTTGAGTACTAGTTTTTGTTAGAGACATGGAAAGGAAGGGTTGCTAAATTAAACTCTCCGCCATGGTTAGCAATATCAGCCAATTCCGATACGACTCGGCCGAGTAGTAACCGGAACAAAGGGGACCGGTACGATACCGATCCCCTAATCGCAGATAATACCATATCTGTGGCGACTCACTCTAACTTGGCCAATATTGGCCGATTCGATTCTGTGATGCATGGTATCAGCTGATATATCCGAGTCAACTCCGACTCGGATATTTACTCAGATTGTGTCTTTTTTGGTATTTTCTGATTTTAGTAATTTTTTCAAAATTTTTGGAAATTTTTATGTGGTATGATGTGCGTATCATCCGATATTCAACCGATATGCCGGGACGGATGTGGAACAACCGCGACCACGACCCGCGACGGCAAACCATGCTCTCCGCTATTGGAAGTGGGTTTTTGTGATTTCCTTGTATTTCTTGGTGCTTAAATTTTTCTGTTGTGATCCTTATAAGACATGGATGATCCAAATCAAATCGTGATCACCTGGCTTATTAAACTTAGAAAGATCTTATACAGCAGTATACTATAGTGGCATCACAGTCTTCAGTTGTTGTCTTTGGCATATTTAAGGAGATAATTTTTTTCGCACACATAGTTAAGGAGATGTAATGAGTTTGATTTGACAATACAGATGAAAAAAGTTAAAAGAAGTGCATTTCTAACTTTAGTTTAGTCCCTAAGATTTAAAAGGAAGTGAGTGTGACCGTCAACATTTATAAGGCATGTTTGGCTGTCTCTTGGCTCATATTCTATCAGCTATAGATCCAAGAAGCACTTCCAGCTGACATGGTTACTAATATTCTAGGATATGTCAAAACCCATGATTCTCCTCATCAAGTTCTCACTTTAATTTTTGATTTGGGACGGTATGCTTTACGTGTCTGGTAGTTGTTGGAGGATGCGTCATTCCCACTTTTATTGTCTATTACTAACTAGGCAAGGTTGCTGTGATTTTCCTACTAGAAGAGTGTTCAGATTAAAGGCCGTAGGAGATGGTGTATGACTTTTTAAATTCTGATGAGTTCTTTGTTTTATTTCAATGTATCAAAACAAGATTATAGAAAGATTCTAGGGAGTATTTCAGCTATTTTCTGTCTAATTTTTGAGATGATAAGAATGGGACATTGGATCTTTTGTCTAATGAACTAGCATTTTAGGTATTGAGATTAACATAGCTGCCTATGTTGATCAGCTGACTTGTCCTTGAGCTGCATGAACCCCTTGCATTCTTTCTCAAAGTTAAGGAGCTTTTGCTCTCTTTTTTGTGTATAAGTGCTCTTCCTGTAGAATGTATTCTATTGGTTTTTATCTCCCACAAGTCTGCACATTCACTAAAGAATAGATGGCAGTTTTTTTATTGAGTTTTATCTCCCTAAATTGTTGAAATGAGTGGGAAAATGCGGTAATTGAGTCCATGGTTAACAGTGCCATTAGAAGATTACAGAGTTTAAAGATTTTATATAAGACTAGAAAATGGATATTTAGCCATTCTTTATGTTCCTTCCTGTTTACATTTTAAACTCATTAAGAAACTACTCTTCACCAAGTTTCAATCTTGTCACTTGCAAACAGATACATTCACCATTCCAGCGTTCTAAACACTATTTCCACATGAATGACTATGTTAGTTGCTAAGTAAATAAGCTAGGAGTGAACTGCAGAATAACCAATTACCCCATCATCACTTTGGTCATGCCTTCCAACATTCAGTATTATCACCACCCTGCTGTTTAGTACTTTAAAGCTCTCTACTCTCAGACATTGAGAACTCCAATGGTGTCACTATACGATGAAGCATTTGATCAAGTGTTTTTGTTACATATTTAGGATTTATTTGTAACTGATTGTTTTCTTATCTTTTTTCGTGAAATATTGTTTCTTGCTTTTGTAGTTATTGTCACATGAATGAAAAATTGCTTCAAACTTTTCCTCTCTCTTAGTTTTATTCTGCCATTAATGCTTAATGGAGGAGTTTGAGTTTTAGTTGTGCATAGCTATTATGATTGATGAAATTTTATTTGAATTTTGCGTATGTATTAGAAGTAAGAAAGAATTTTGCTTTATTATAATATATCAAAACACAGTTGAAAATACCATGGTTGAGATGGGGAAATATTTCTTCACAAAAAGGGATAATGGATCAAAACATGCTAAAGGAAATGTTCACCAAAGAAAACAGAAGAAATCCAGAAACTGAACGAAATATCTGCAGTTGAAATTGACAGACAGAGAAACCTGCTAAATATGTGTGGATTAATTGTGGCAAGTATACTTTCATGGTTTATGGTTAACTGCCCAAATAGCCAAAAAAATCCTGTTCCAGTATACACTAATTAGAATATCTGAGTTTTGTTGGTATCTTATTTTGGCCCCTCTCCCCTCCTAGATATGTAATTCTGTCCATTATCTGAAGAAGAAAAATAAAAAGGACTTTTGTAATAGTTTGTCTGTGTTTTGGTTTGGTGAAGCAGGATGTTACTTGGTTTTTCTAGTTAAGTCTCTTCTTTTACACACAGATTTGTAAAGCTCACAACATAAACACCTTGTAGCAAGTGGTATTGTAAAGATACAACTCAAGATGGTTTTGTTTTATGAAATAGTTGGTTCTATTACTTAAATGGCCCTCAAATCTATTGCATTAATAGTTTTCCATGTTTATTGTGTGAAATGAATGATATTAATTCAGGGATTCCGGAAGATAGATCCTGAAAGATGGGAGTTTGCTAATGAAGAGTTTGTGAAAGATAAAAAGCATCTCCTTAAGAATATTCATCGTAGAAAACCCATTCATAGCCACAGCAACCCTCAAGGTACAGTGGTTGACCCAGAACGGACAGCTTTTGAAGAAGAAATTGATAAGCTATCACGTGAGAAGGCTGTTCTTGAGGGGAACGTCTTAAGGTTCAAACAGCAACAGTCTACTGCAAAAGTCCAGCTAGAAGATCTAACTCAACGCCTAAGTGGCATGGAGAAAAGGCAGGATAATTTGCTGACCTTCCTTGAAAATGCAGTTCAAAAACCATGTTTTGTTGAAATTCTTTCTCAGAAGCTTGAGTCTATGGATGTTTCAGCATACAATAAGAAACGAAGATTGCCTCAAGTTGATCAGACCCAGTATGTTCAAGAAAATATGATGGTGGATGACCATAGCAGCTCCAGACCTGAGTTTGGTAACAATTCAATACCTCAGGACTTCTGTAATAAGCTCACATTAGAGTTGTCACCGGCTGTTTCAGATATTAACTTGCTCTCACATAGCACGCAAAGTTCAAATGAAGATGGGGAGATTTCACCAAAGAGGATATCTGAAGGGTGGCCAAAAGATGTCCAAAAATGTGGGGAAACACTCTATGCCCCTGAAACTCTAGACCTGTCAGATACTGGGACATCATTTGGCTTGAAGGTGGATTCCCCGTTGCCACATAAAGCAGCAGATGCTGAAAGCCCTCAACTACATTCCTTTCAACCATGTTTAACTTCTAGCGAAGATGGTGATGGTCACATCTCCTGCCATTTAAACCTGTCTTTGGCTTCTTCTGCATCGCCAATTGGCAGGAGTCAGTCTTCAGCCAAGGTAGACCATGTGGTTGAGGAAACTGGTAAGTCTTCAGAGGCAAATTTGAATGCTGATGGTAACGAGGCTGATCTCAGTATTCCCATGGAAAGCAGAAAACATCCTGATGGGGATACAACTTTATCTTCCTCGCAGAACAAGCAGCAAGGGCCTGCTACTCAAGCCCGTGTGAATGATGTCTTCTGGGAGCAGTTCCTTACTGAAAAACCGGGCTCCATGGATAATGAAGAAGCAGGCTCTAATCATAGGGCTAGTCCACACGATGAGCAAGAAAACAGAAAATTAGGCCGGGGATTACCACGAAGCATAAAAAGTGCTGAGCATCTTAGTCTTTAGTGAGCGCCAAACTTATGACTGAACTCTTTGGGGTGTACCTAACTTTAGGTTCTTGTCATGCTTTGAATAATAGATCTGGCAGCCATGCAGTACGTTTTGTAAAATATTTTGTTCTTGGTGCCTAGGTTCTGTCTTCTTTGTTTGTAATGGTTCTTTGAATGATAGCTATACAATAAATCAAAGGGTTGACGCATGAACCGTGAAACAAATAAAAATTTTCAGGTGTCTAATTCTGCTGACTCCAACCCATGGTCGTAAACTTAAATTTTCATGTTCGTTGCACATATATTTCTCAGTGTTTTCACAATCTCCCTAAAGCATGTGCTGGCTGTCACACCACGGTTCCTCATAATAGTTACCTAAAACTAGGAAGAATAAGTTTTGACCACTGGGTAACGGATATTAAACAATTACCCATGAATCTCCTTCGTAGTTTCATGATCAAGTTTCTGTTCTCTTGTAATTGGAAGAGTAATAATAGGGAAGCTAGGGATACCCTGGCCTTCTGCTGGTGTTCCATCTCGTTTCTGCAGATTCTGCCGTCACTCATCCATGCACCAACCGAACACAGTAGTTTGATTCGCTCCATCAGAAACTACGTTTGCTGTTTCCAGGTCCCATTGTGCTGCATCGCCATGTTGAGTTTGTGCATCGATATTTCTGTTTTTCAGTTGGCTATATGACAATTAGATTGTTTATTACGCTAAATGTACTGCCTGACAACAAATTTTTTTTCGTCCAGATGGGTCGTTTGTGATGTCCAGAAAGAAAATAGAAGTGAAAATCTGTTGAACTTGGGGTAGATGTTTTAAGAAAAGTAGCCAAAACAATGTTAACTAAAGCTAATAAAATGAAACTTATGTCGTACTTAATAGCACTATACTAAAAAACTATTTCAAGAGGTTGAAATGTTTCCCAAGATTAAATAAGCCTTCTTCTTGTTATGAACAAGAAGGATCAGAGCTAGCAAAATGTTGCGTAAATCCAGCAGAGAATAGAAGAAGAGGAAGAAAAGAGTTGACAGGAAAGTTTCGACTGTAAACTCTGAACCCACACTAATTATCAGTCTAACACAAACCCAAATAAAAACTAAGCATTATAAAATGATGAGAAATCTCTTTGATTTTCTAATATGGAAAAGATGTTTTGAAATAATTATTTATTTACAACAGATATATGGCCTATAAATGCTTACTTTGGATGCTGCTAATGAAACAACAGTTGCAGTATAGGTACATTTTAAGTTTACTTCACAGAGAATCATGTTTGTTGCTGCCATGCTCAATGTATTGAATATCTAGAATCTGGATATAGGTGGAGTTTCAGTTTCTCCATTGTTGACCACAAATCTCTCTCCAGCTGCAAGTGTATTGCTGCTCATAATTGGCAAATTCCAGGAATATGGGAGACAGTGAGGCTACTGCTTTTTCTCCACTTTAAGTAGAGATCAACATTGCAATTAAGCAATAAAAGCTGTCAAGGACAGCCACCCAAATTGTTGAAAACACGTTATTGTGTGTTGACTGATATGTTCTTCTGGCCAGAGGAACTGTTGATTTTCTTTTCAATTTTAGCAATTGCTTGCCTCTTGTATGTTTGGTGGCTTTGCTTTCTAACTTTTGCTAAAACTGGACGGTGGCCAAAATGGGAAAGACTCGCTGGACAATATCATTGCTTTGCACTATCTTAGGTGCAAAAGACTGGAAGAAAGTATTTACATAACAACATCTACTCATTCAGTTTGAAAACGTAAAGTATTTTATATAACATGGTCTACTCATTCAGTTTGAAAACTACGTCACTTTTTCCATTGCCAAGAAAAGGAAAAAGAAGCAAAAGAAAAAATTTTATATTTTGTATGAATACGTTTCTCGATCATTTTTTTATCTCATATATATTAAATTGTTACAAGGCATTTTTTATAAAAATTCTAGAAAATTATCAATTCAAACGGGCTTTTAGTTTTGACGACATATAGAGTATCACGAGAATATTCTTGATTGTCGAATGAATCGGTTATGTATGAATATCAAATTTTTTCAAATAATATTTCGCTTATATTATAAACATATTTTTTAACTCATCATTTTATGTTTCTAATTACCTTTTATCTCATATATATCACATCACAAAAGGTGCTACAATAATTATTCTAAATAAATATTTCAAATAATACTCTTGATTTACGAACAAGCTAACTATATAAATCCGGTGCAAAATAAAGCATTTGATCAAAGAGCATGAACGATTAAAAAAGTTAAAAACATGGACTTTTTTATAAAGCTAAGAGAGAGGCATTTATTCTTTTTTCCGACTCAAAGCAATTGACTTTTATCGAATGAAATAAACCTAATCCCAGAGCTAATACCAAAAGCCGGCAACTCTTGGTATAGCCCCAGGGACTTATCTACCCAACTAACCCGACCCCCCGACCCCGAGAGGCATTTATTCAATAGAGTAGAATTACATGCACTTCATTATGAAGAGTCTTCTAGACGAAATATTGTGTAAAATTTCTTCGCAAATAGTAACATAAGTTCGGCAAAAGTTGGAAGACCGATTATCTAATTAATGTTTTAAATGGCCTGTCCAGGCGAGGTGTGTGTCGTAAGGCATTCTTGAAGGAGTTCCCCCCCCCCCCCCCCTCTCTTAAAAATGTGTTTTCAGATTTCAATTTCACTTTTGATGTTTTTAATTTTTTTTTTTTGGAACAAAAAAAAAACCTTTTTTTAGTGTAAATAAAAAATTTCAAATTCGAGATATTGTACTTACACCCCTTCTCCCATGCCACACAACTCATCCCTCTCCCTTTGTCTATGTTACTTCTTTGTTATTAGATTTGCATTGAAATAAATTAATTGGTGGCAAGGAAGAGGCTTCATTCACCGTAATTTGTATTTTAACAATCATAGTAGTCATATTTAATAAATTTCAAAAGAATTGCAATTTGTGGGTGAGGACAGTGTTAGACAAATTTTATATGTTTTTATTAATTTCATCCCTTTTTTTGTATTTATTAGTGGTCATCTTATAATTTTTGTAATTTTTGATATATTTAAAAAATCAAAATATATGGAACTTGCCCAAAAGTACACTAATAAGAAGATCATCGCCTTTTTGTTGTCTTCGCTATTAATACACTGATAAGAAAAACCTCATTAATTTCTCTCTTTTGGATTGCCATTTTTTGAAATTTTATAAAAAAATATACTATAGTGATTTGATATATATGAATCAAAAAGATGATTGAAAAATATATTCATTGAAAAACTTTAAAATTTTTCCTTAGAAACTAGCAATCCTAACATTTTTGTTGTCTTTTTAGTACTACCTTATAGTGATTTTTACTTTCAATTAAACTTACATTTTAATTCTTATATTGTAGTAAAACTTAAAGGCCCCGTTTAGGTTACTGTGCTTTTGATAAAAAAGCACTTTTAACTGCTAAAAGTACTTTTAAATTGTTTGGTGAATATTATTCCATATAATTAGAAGTTTAGTTTTTAATGTTAGAAGCACTTTAAGCAAAAACTCAAATTTGGTACTTTTAGAGTAGCTTTTGTGATTTAAAAATAAAACATCAAAATTAATTATTTTATCCTATATTATGAACCAAATAAAGAAATAAACATTTTAAAATTTTTTCAAATTATGCATTATCCAATACAATAACTATATATTGACCTATGTCTTCAAACAATATATTTAAAAGTATTTAAATAGTTTATGGTTATTTTTATTAAAAGTTTTGTTAGGGAAATACTTCTCAATAAGTTACTATGACCCCAAACGGGTCCAAAATCTTCAATATTATGTCATCATTCTTTTTTTCCAAACGATAATAAATTATGTCATCATTTACTTACATATAATTGACCTACCTATACCTTAACTCTTGTCTAATTCAAAACTTTTACGAATTACTGAAGTGCTTACTTGACATTGATAAGCAATCGTCCCACATTTCACGAGACTAATATTTAGCCATCGGTCAATTATCACTTCCAAAGGATATGTTAAATAATCATGATAATTTACTCTTGTCAATTACATCCTGTCAAATAGTCTTTTTTTTGTTTGGATACGAGGTTATTTGAAATATTTATTTGAGATAATTACTGTAACATTTTTTGTGATGTGATGTATGTAAAATAAAAAGATGATTAAAATTATATATATATACATATATATATATATGATACAAGTAAAACAAAATTTAACATTTTTTTTAAAAAAAAAATCTCGTAATCCAAACACATCCGGCCAAAATTTCATAGTTTTCATATAAGAAAACGCATCTTACTTTCGTAATATGCTTTGATTGGTACTAGTACATCATGCGTCAAATTATTACGGCTTCGACCACTAATCCACCAAGATTATCAACAAAAACAAGCCAAAATAATGGTTGTGTGTCAACGTCATTCGCCCATGACTCAACAATAGTTGCGTATACTTAGTAGTTGACGTAGGTACACACTGTTCACTGTGGCCACTGCCAACATTAATGTCTAAATGCTAATGTCTGCTTTACTCATCTCTGACTGCCATGTTATAGAAATTGAAATCTCACTTTTCTTGCCTCTAAAAAAAATCTCACTTTTCTTAGTCCTCTCTTCTACTGACAAGAAAGAAGAAAAAATCTAAAACAAACTTCAACCCACAAAATGCTCAAAACTCAGCAGCACCCCTTGAATACGCTCATTTTGGTAATGCTAGTGCTTTTCTTGGTGAAAATGTGTTGTGGGATGTCAGTTTTGGACCTGAATTCAATGAAAAATGGTGAGTTGGATGCCATGGTGAAAAGGGCTTGTGCTGGAAAGATGAGTGATTGCCCAACTGTGTCTCTGGAGGAAGAGGAGGAGGAGATGGATTCTGAGAGCCACAGAAGAATGCTGCTTATGCGGAGGAGGTTCATAAGTTATGATACATTGAGGAGGGATTTTGCTCCATGTGATAGGCCTGGTTCTTCATACTATAATTGCAAGGCTGCTGGTCCAGTTAACACTTACAACAGAGGTTGTGAAATTATCACAAGGTGTGGTAGGGGAGATTAGTATTAGACCTCTAGAATGGAGGATGCCCGTGGAATTGGTAAAGTAAGAAATTGGTATTTTATGACTTTCATGTCTAGTAAATGTTGGTGGGTTCTGGTTAACTTTGATTTAATGATCTCTAGATAATGATCCTAATGTTATATTCCACTTGGAATTTTAAGGAGATCCAGAGCTTGTTTTGGCTCCTAAAATGGTGGCTAAATGCCTTTGGGGCTATTATATTGGGTTTATCCTTTTATTGAGGGTTATTATTTGAGGGTTTCGTTCTCTTATGCTCGGAGTTAATATTCTGGAAGATTAATTAACATGGAATGAATGTCTTAGGTTAGATATGCGTAATAGTAGTACAATCCCTTTATGTATGATGTCTCAAATAAGTAATGCTTCATTGTACTCCCCAAAAAGGGTTTAGCTTAGATCAGGTCTTTATTCATAACTTCTGAGTAACTTAATGGTATAAAGTACAGAGCATAAACGAGAGGTAGGTAGTTTTGCTTGCTCTTCTATGTTTTCTACATTTACTTGAGCAGTTTGGCTGTTAAGTCAGAGAATTAAATTTCTGGCCAAATCTGGATATTATATTTTTGTTTCTTGGTTGTGCTTCAATCTTCGCTTTCAGATAAACCGATTAACTTCTTTTAGAACGATAAGATGAATGCCAATTTCAGTTCCAATATCCAGATACCATCCAGAAACTTTAATGTGCCTCTCGAAGGATGAACGTGTTATCTTAATACAATAGTTCTGGCAAATGGTTGCCAAAGAATCCCGGATTATCCATATCGACATGGCATGAACTTTTCTTCTTTTAATATGGTACCTTGTTTTATTATTGCTGTTCTTCACATTATTTTCAGGCCTAGTTCAGTAAGAATGGAGAGCAAATTGATGACATAGGAAAGATATTACTGCTTTGAGAGCAAAGAAGAGGCAGGAGCTTGCTGATTGCTGTTCTCTATTATATGTAACAAGTAGTATCCCTTTTACTGAAGAGCTGTTTATTTTGGATCCTACAGACATCAGAATTGTAAGAATGCTGGAATCATTCATGCTGATTTTTTTTTGTTATTCTTTCTTCCTATCTCTGTTTCCTTCCATTGTTTATTATGTAGCTAATTTTGAACAAGGTTTTCGATAATTTTCTTTTTTGGAACCTTTTTTAGGCCGCATTGTGTGTGTTGGTTTGTAGTAGACTTAGCTAACTGTTGCTAGTAACCAAACTCTCAGTTCTTTATCACTGAGAATATACTTTTGTTTCAAGTTGGAAGTAGATACATTCATTGTTCTGATGACTTAGCATTCACTCTGTGAAATGCATGATCTCATTGTTCATTCTTCATCACTTCAGCAGTATTCTGAATTACTGAATTCTGTCTCTAGTACTATCCTATCTTCCTCTCATTTTAATTTGGTTCTCTACTCGAATTTATCTTTCACATATATTCCTTTGCACAATTCAATGACTGAAAAGCTTGTTCTGGGTTACACCGTCTGATTCTGAATACGATGCTGCTTTCCTAGCAATGTGTTCATTTGAGTACAGAATAGGAAAGAGAAGTTTTCTGCAAGTTGCTTCTCGGATATTTGTTGTTATTCCTCATCTCTGAATTTATTTGACCTCTTGTTTGCTGGTTCTTCTTGTTTCCTTCTGTTCTTTTTTCGTTTTGGCGAGTCGGTCTTTTTGATTTAGAATCTGTAATACAATTTCCCATAAACACAACCTATTGGTTGCTAGCTTAGAACTTAAGATCAATGTCGATGATCTATGAGGTTGGAGCTGTTGACAAGTTTTCAGTGAATCAGCCCATCACCTTTGTTACTTTGAAACTTTTTCCTCCAAAGTGAGAGTCCCTTCTTTTCATTTTTCAGTAGTAGTATTTCCACCTATCCTTCTCTACAGTTTGCAAGATCACTACTTCAAAAACATTCTTCCATCTTCAAAATTTTTGCACTCTATCAATAGCTGTATTATGATATCCAAAAGAAGTCCATGACTAGTGCTGCAACTTTGTTTTACTATTTAACTGTCTGGTGGCAGTTGTTATCTCTGTTTGGGGCATTCATTCATAGCTTGTCCTTTCACATTGATAAACTTTGCTCCTACAGGCTGTGATTTGTACAATCATAGCTGAAATTTTCACTCAATCAAGGCCTATAAATAGGTAAGCAGCAGAGGAGATTCAAGTGCTGAAATTTTCACTTCTACAGGCTGTGATACTCAAGTGCTGATGCATTAGAGCTTTTAACATTTTCGAACTTGAGAAGCAATAGTACACTTCTGAACCTCAGTTTTTGTGACTGATGATTCTCTCTTTTCATTTGTGCTTTTGCCTTCTACCTGAGAACCCTTAAAACCTCTGAAAACAGAGGCTTTGTTTGGCAAGCAAGTTTTTGGCCAAGTTTACCTGCTATAAATTTTTTAACAACTTTAGCTACAATAACCTCAAAAAACTTCTTTAAAACATCCAAAAATTTACATACTTCAAAAAATTTTCTACAATAAATTTTTACAGGAAAATTTTAGACAAACATCCAAAAAGATGTCGGCAGTAAACTGCAGTAGCTTAATTCAGTACCTTAAAGTCTGTGCTAAATGTAACCCAAATGCAAAGCCAAATCAAGACATAAATTCCGCCCGCAACACCAAGTAGCATCACAGCTCATGATATATGTGTTTATGGAAAAAGATGTCGGCCAATTGGTAATATTTACCAATCAAATGATTAGTACATGGATGCAGGTGGCCGACCAATGCCTACCAAAGCAAAAGAAGAAGACAAAAACGAAACGAAAACGTGAAGATACAGCAAGTTCAGAAAATCGGCATGTTGAAGTTGATTGCGTGGATTGAATTTCCTTAATTGATAATACATTATTGTTACCTCATTATGATCTTGCACCCATGAGTTTTTTTATTCCATACTTTCTACGGGCATCTCTACAGGGAGGCAAACATGAGCGCGGATCCTTTGACAAGGATTGGGGGGGGGGGGGGGGGTGGGGGGAATATATCACTTCAAAATTGTAGTTTTGGTCCCAAATGGATGTTTAGAGTACAAGCAGTTTTAGTCCTGGAAACTTGGACGAAAGTAGATGAAGTTTCAAATGTTTCAATTTTCAAACACATTTAGTCTCATTCATTGATTTTTTTGCTAATTGTTACCGGAATTCAGTCATATACTATCACATGCCAGTAACTAATTTTTTTTTTTAAAAAAAAGATAAATATTGTTAGCCATAATATGTAATAAAAGAGGATTAATTACCCGCATGCCAATCACGCGAGTAATTAGTCTTTTATTGGGGGTAAAAAGAAATTACTCAATATCGACATGTGAGTAATTAGTCCTCTTTTATTATCAATTATGGCTAACAATATTTTTTTAACATTATTTAAATTTTATTCATAAAATTAATTACCGGTACATGATAGCACGTGATCTAATTCTGGTTGCAATTGACAAAAATCATATTAAACATGACTAAATGTGATTAAAAATTAAAATAATTAAAATTACATTTGCTTTCATCCAAATTTTAGGGATTGAAACCGCTGATGTCCTAAACATAAATATATTTGAGAACAAAACTATACAATCCATCCATCCGCTGATGTCTTAAAGTAGTGTTATTGCAGGCTGATGTTGTAAGCTGTGAATTTTATTTTATTGATCTTATTCTTACCCAAAAAAAAAAAAAAAAGAATCATGAAGCACGTGAAAGAACACGTGAAATTAGCCGGGAATTTCTTTATATTATTCAGAAGAAAAATAAAAGAAATGTCATTTTTGTCTCAATAAAACCCTAAGACAAGGAATTGACGCCACTTAGGGAAACTAAAACCAAGAAAAATGAAATTGCAGAAATCTGGAAAAGTGAAATGCTTCAGCTAGCCAGCCACAAGCTAACACGTGTCCTGTGGGACTCCAAATCAAAAGCAGGTGGTGACGGGTGAGTGGTGAGTGATGGGATACATATAAAATATCCCCTACATTCCAAAATTGTTTATCACATGTTGAAATTCTAATTTTTAAAATTAAAATAGTAGTGATTTGATAATGATGTTAATAAATTTCGTTTTTAAATTGCCCTTAACAACTCAAATAAATAATATTTAGAAAGATCAAAAATAATTTACAAAAATTTTAAAACATCTCAAAATGATTTCATATAACGCTTTCAATGGAACTTGTTTTCTAGGGAAAAGTATGAAGAATATGATAGATAAAATCTGAGGCATGAATCAAATATCTGATTTTTCTGATGTTGAGCAGCTCAGAAAAATTTGTTCCCTTCACCACGAAGCAGCCAGTGATAAACCGACTACGAGGCAAAAGACAATTGCAAAAATTTGTTCTCTTGCCTGGAACTGGAAGTCACCCCGTGATGTACTCAATAATTTACTCCTAGACAACATGATGTATCGTACTCTACTTTATTGCCGACTAGACATTTTCCCCATCGGGCCACCGGTCCTTAAAGGCTGGTCAGTGGTCACCACCAGTCTTTGAAGTCAAATTCAACTTTTATCTCCCATCAATTTATTACTATGTAACTATCTAAATTAATCATCTTCGGCAAAATTTCTATTCACGTCGACCCTTCTTCCTAGATTAACTTAAACAAGATTATAAAAACAAAAATTCTACCGCTACGAAAAAAAACCATTTTCCTCGTTAATAATGAAAGCACACCATTCAATTCTATCATTATATGCATTCCATGTTACAGAATGAATGCCGAAAGGATCTACAGCCTCGGTAAATACTTGCCTACGTCTGCTGCCAAAGAAATCAATTCAAAACATTCACCAACACAAACAGCCTTGGTAAAACATTGATGCCATTATATAAAAGACTTTACTAGAGAAACCAACAAAATTCTTTTTCTTTTGTTTTCTTGTGCAAACAAGAAGAAAAAAGCAATCAACCTAAGCTGGAGCAGCTAAAAATATGATCATTCCACACCCCCATACAATGCCCTTATTCAACATTTCTTGGTCAGAGACCATATTTCTTTCTTCCGATCATTTCAACACTCCCAACAACACCTCCAAAAATCAGAAAAAAAAAAAAAACTAAATCCCTATTGTAAACCCGCAATGTAACAGAAAAAAATCCATGCTGTTAAACAAGATCGTTGCAAAGTGTTGACATCTCTCCCTCAGTACCTATAGTGAGGAGGCTTGTAAGGACCCTCAACGGGCAAGCTAATATAGTCAGCCTGATCCTTGGAGAGCTTAGTGAGCTTAGCTCCAAGCTTACCAAGATGGAGTGCAGCAACCTTCTCATCAAGATGCTTGGGCAAGACATAGACCTTCTTCTCGTACTTTCCGGTACTCTTCTCTTTCCAGAGCTCAAGCTGGGCAATCACTTGGTTAGTGAAAGAGCAGGACATCACAAAGCTAGGGTGCCCTGTGGCACAACCCAAGTTCATGAGACGACCCTCAGCCAAGACAATGATGCCGGAATTTGTCTCAGGGAAGACCCATCGGTCTGTTTGGGGCTTAATTGTGATCCTCTTAACACCTGGGTATGTCTCGAGACCGAGCATGTCAATTTCATTGTCAAAGTGGCCAATGTTGCAAACAATAGCATTGTTCTTCATCTTCTTCATGTGGCTAACCATGATGATGTCTTTGTTACCGGTGGTGGTGACAAAAATATCAGCTTCGGAGACAACATCTTCCAGGGTCAAAACTTGGAAGCCTTCCATGAGGGCCTGAAGAGCACAAATTGGATCAATCTCAGTCACGATGACACGAGCACCAGCTTGCTTCAAGGCAGCAGCACAGCCCTTTCCAACATCTCCGTAACCGCAAACAACTCCAACCTTCCCGGCAATCATCACATCAGTGGCTCTCATCAGCCCATCAGGGAGTGAGTGGCGGCATCCATACAAGTTATCAAACTGTATCCACCAAGTTCAAGAACACTCCATTAGCTCATATTGATGCATAACTCCAACGACTGTAAATACTCAAAATTAACTACCAACACAACTTTAATAACCAAGATTTTCAAAAACCAAATCAGAGCCATTAATAACCAGGATTGCTAGCCAAGTACCATATATCATAAT